GTGGAACTGAGCGCAGGTAAGACTCCTCCCCTGACACGCCTTCATTAACATATGTTAAACAGATGCAAATTACTTCCTGCATGTGTGAAGGACATGTTTGTGTGATCCCTGCACGATCAGAAATGATTTCCAGAGTCATAAAAATAATGAATTAAATATAATGTGAGTGTGAAAAAATCCCAAGTAAAAATAGGAATAAAATATGTTTATCACGCAAAGAACGAGCGATTGTGTGTTGGTGTGTGTGTGCACGCGCACGTTGCTGTGTTGCGCAACCGGCTTATCACTTTGCGCAGGAGTTTATTACCATAATTACTGTAAACACAGAGAAACAAATGTTTGGTAGAACATAGATCTTAGTTTATTTCATAGCTGATCTTAAGAAACGAGTCTCTGCGTCTCAGTAGTTTTCATGACATGACGTGATGCTGGAGAGTCTCCACAAATGCTGCGCGCGTTGCAGCCTTTGTGCGCAGTCTGTTTGTCTGTCAAGCTTTTGCTCTCCTACTTACAGCATTTTCACAAGTTGTAAAGTGTACTTCCACGTGTCATTTTGGAGAAATCTACAGCAACCAACACCTCCACTGCCGGCGAGGGTGCGCGAGCTCCAGAGCGCGACCATAACTCAACCTTTAGAATCATATGGATGAGATGATTCCGTTGGTCATGACTCTGCTTTGGGTGGACTGGACTAAGTCCTGATGGGTCTGCCAGCTCCCTCTGGAAAGCTCCTGTGGAACCCCAGTTCAATCGYTGCTGCTGCACGTGCAAGCGTGGYGCAYGCGGYTACTCGCTGCGTCGCGCTCCCAGAGCGCAGCAGTGCCAAACTAAAAAATGATTTTTCCTCAAAACGGCTGATGAGCCACTCGTCATCAGAAAATTCTATAAATGTTCTGCGTGCTACACTATTTATTATATCCTCCAGTAAGGCTGAATCTGTTCCTGTTAAATGTATTTTTTGGCACAACTTTGCACGTCCTTTATTTAACTGCGTCCATGTGGACGTAATAATTGTTAATCATGTGGACGTAATAATTGTTAATCATGTGGATGTAATAATTGTTAATCATGTGGATGTAATAATTGTTAATCATGTGTGTCTGCTGTGAACAATAATCATTTTCACATCATGAACAGTTTCTCAGAATCACCTCTAAGTGTCTCCAATGGAACCAAAGCCACAGAAACGTGCGTACACCAGCCCTGGAGTTGGTGTGGGGCTGAGTACATTTCCAGGTTTAGTTCAGTTTTGATACATCCGGAGTTTTGCGTGGAAAATGACGTACGCAAGGTATTTGTGCGTACGCACTGTTGATACATGAGGCCCCAGGTTCTTAAAAATCCTCTTGGTTCCAGGGTTCCAGAAGACTCCTTTTGAGATGACAAGGTGGAAGGAAGGGAGGATGGAAGGGAAGGAAACAAGGAAGGAAGGCAGGAAGGAAGGAAGGAACACACTCACAGACACACAAACACACACA